CCCATGAGACGCCTAGAGCTCGGCCTCTTGACACCTTTTCCTTGAACAGGATTCTTCAGTCATGGCACCTGCCAACTCTGATATAATCCAAGGTGCCAACGAGAGCCCCTAGGCCCAGTGTGATGGCAAGGGGACACTCAGCAGGATTCATGCAGAAGGTGTAGGAGTCACAATAACACAGGGTTTCCTCCACAGATGAGCCTGCAATGGCACTGGCCCTACTTCCTACTGCTCTTGAATGTCTGCATACACCAGGGGCCCCTCTACGCATTCAGGCATAGGTGCAAAGGGATCAAATGTGAGATCCACACAACTACATCTCCTGCTATGCCACAAGAGGTGCGATTGTAGGACTATCGTGCCTTATTGCCAGCGCAGGGGGAGCCTGGGATCACATCCCAGCACCCCCTGCAATGGCTCCTGTGCCTATGAGCCCCACAGCTGATGGGGCTCCCAGTGGGGAGAGAGGGGTGGGGGTGGCATTCTCACTGCAAGCCTCACAGCTGATGAGGCCATCAACTGATGGCATGATTAGAACAAGCTACTAAGTTATTACACCCTTTTGGGGGAATAACTTACTGCTTGTTTTATCACACCATTACTTGGCTGGATGTGTGGCTGGGTCACAACTTAAGGTGTGGTTAACTGGTTAATCAAGCCTTAAGTGTAATGTGTAGAGGGGGCCCAGGGGACCTGCTGCTCCCTGTTCTCCTTCATCCACCGAGAGGGCGATATTTACTCTCCCAGCCTCATCTAGGGTCCCTGGCTGCAAGAGCCTGAAGAGGGGCAGAAAAAGAATGTGAGTGGTAGCAATGATAATAGGAGGGGTTGCTGCCGGGCAGAAGGAGGTTGCAGTGGCAAAGATGCATGGGGAAGGATACAATGGGGGGGTGCATGTCAGGAAGGATTGTGCATATGCATTGTGCAATATGGAGGCCCCACAGGGGTATGATTCACAGGTCCCATAGCAGAGGGAAGGGGACCCTGAGATGATATGAGCACAGGATGCTGGAGGTCAGGACTGAGGCATACTGGGGAGACAGTAAGGAAGAGTAGAGAGGTGGAGGCAGAGAGGAGGCACGTGTGGGAACAGCATGAGAGCTTGGCCGCACTGGATAAAGCTCTGCTCCAAAGTCACTTGCAGCAACAATCCCATTTTAGCTCACAGTGAGAGAACTTGGAAAGAGAGATGAATGGAGATGTGCAGAGGAGTGGCCGGCCTGCCCTGCACAGGGATCCCCAGAGGCTGCAAGCAGTTTGGGGATGGCAGAGGAGATCGCCCAGCAGCCCCTGTGCTTCGGTGACAGGGATGGCATCAAGAGGAAACCCACCTACTTTGGCTCTCATCAGAAGAATGAAATGGTGAGAACAGCTTCTCCCCTCTCCCTGCCACAGGCAGTAACTCCTTCCGCTTTAAAACCAAAGGCTTTAAAGCCTGGGAAGCAGGTTATGGAGCTGTAGGAATATGGATACGATTGTAGAGATGAGTGATGTGCATTCAGTGGGGTTTATGAGTGCCATGCTGCTGAATATATATCATGCTAGACTAGAGCAATGCAGGCAGCTAGAAATCAGGTACCAAGTCTCCGCGGTAGTTGCAGAAGCTGGGGGCAGGCGGGAAGGAGCCTGGACGAAGATGAGTCACTGGGCTCTCAGGCTGTTTCCAGAATAAATGTATTTAATAACAGGAAGGTATAGTACCAGCAAGGATCTCTAAGCACTTTCCCAAAGGGGGTAAATGCTGTTATTGTCTCTATTCTGCAGGCAGAGGGCTGGATACTTTGTTCCTTAAGCTGACTTTATGAGACTCAGAGTGGCCTTATTTGACCCAGAAAATGCCAGTGGAAAATTCTCATTGCAAGGGTTAACTCTTGCTGGAGCAATTTATACAGTGAACAAGGCTGCACTACCCCCGGCATAAAGGAGGGTCACTGAAGGGCACCCCAGGTAAACAAGCTTATCAGCAGCTTAGCTGGACCCATTCCTCACAGCCCCCTCTCTCCACTCCATCCAGCGGCAGTCGGGAGCCAGGGGACTTAGGCCCAAAAGAGAGAAATGGCTCATGACACATGGACAGGAACCCAAGAGTCCTGGCTCTCAGCCCCATCCCTGCCCCATGGGACCGCCTTGCCTTGCCCAGCTACCTGACACATTGGAGGATGGACAGACAGACCTGTCGTGCCTGCTGACAAGGCCAGGGATGGGTGGCATGAAGGGATGTGGGCAAAGTTTAGAGCTCCCCTGGTGATCTCTGAGCTTGGTGCTTGAGTCAGGGAGGAGCCAGGCTCCCGAAGATTTAGGGTAATGATTAGTCGATTTGGGTTTTGAAAGCATGATCTGTCATCGGGACCAGGAACCAGGTAAAAGCTGCTGTTGTGAATTACCCAGCTCCACAGGTAATTTCTGATTAGCTCACTCCTCTCCCCCGGTGCCTCCTCAGTTTCCATAGCAGCTAAGACCTGAGTAAAATGGAAACATCTGGTTCAAATGCAGGTAAAGCTCCCCTGAGGAAAGAAATCTGCTGGATGGCAGGAAACACAGAAAACGGCCCCTCTGCAAGAAAGTAGCCTCTGAGCCCATGTGGGGCGGGGGAAGGCAGGCATGATGGAGATAGAAGAAGGGGCATGGAAACTATGGGGAGAAATAAAGGACTGGAAAGAAAGAGGCAGGCGTGGGGAAAAGAGAGGGAGAGAGGAAATGGGGAAAGGAAGGACGGGAGGATCAAGAAGAAAAGAAGCAAGAGAGGAATGGTGCAAACTACCCGGTGCAGAGATGCCCTCCCCTAACTGCTGCTTCACTGTGGTCAATGCACTGGTAGTAAACTCCATCTGGTCCCACTTGAGGCTCAGTTACAGTGGGAAGCACACAGAGACCCACATGGCGAGACATGCCATGCATGCTCACCCACCCAGGAGACATGCCAATGCATGCACGAAGGGCCAGGGCTGAGAGACCGGTTTCAGAAGAGTCACCTCTTAAACCATGTGGAAAGAGACAGATCAAAACAGCGGCCTCCCTGCTTACAGCCCTCCTGCTCCTTGCAGACCACTGACTTGGCCCAGCAGGACAAAGCACAAGGGCAGCTGGGATCTGCAGAGCTGCAGTAACTGCAGTCGTTGGCAGGGTCTGGACACACGGACAACCAGCACTGGAAGCAGCACCTAGCACTGCCCGAGCTTTGCTCACTGCCTGAAGTATGTGGGGCTACCAAGGAGGCAGCCTTCTAGGACGAGGTGCATCCTCAAGTCGGGTTATGGCAAAGCAGATGGGGCAGATTTCCAGGACATTAACATGGGCTAATAAATGCATTTTTGAGATTCATTGATGAAGCACAATTTTGTAAGCAGAAATTATACAGGATCACAGAGAGCCAGCCCTTGTCCTGCACTAGTATTCAGTAGGCTGGTACTTTGCCAAGGTCACTATGCTTGAGTTACCTTAGTGTGTTTGACCAGGACTTCTTGATTCAATAAGACCCAGGAAATGCCGGTGAGGACAAAATTCTCAACAAGATTAAACAGACTGACTGGGCAAGGTCTAAAAGGTGCTCACCTATCCCTGTGATTTGTACATGAGGGAATTCATGCTCCAGCAATCAAGCCCTCACAATTACACTCATGTTTTGTTTACTAATTAATGAGAAGTGACAATTAATGCCGCTTACTTAGTGGATTTTGTTCCTCTCTGCAATGCTATTTCTGGTTCCTCTTTGCAGTGAAATGAAAAAATGTAGCAATGCTTTGAAAATCACAGTTTTTGAAAAGGCACTTTGTAAATCCTGCAAAACTGAGCACTTTGCCCTCATACACATGCATGCTCTTGAAGAGCTCTGGAGAGCACATTAGTCTCTTCAGAGCATTCAACGCATGGTCATGACATAAAACCAGACCTGGCTCTTACCACATGGCTCCTCATAAACAAAGCTGTGTGCTTAGCTCTCACTGCTCTCTTCAATGCAGAGCATAAGCCAGTTCATGCACTGGGATCCCTTCACCGGGTGGGGAAGGATGAGCTGTTCTCCCAAGCCATGGCCAGGTCACAAGTCCACACTCCAACTGGGATCACTCCTGGCTGCCTGCACCATGCCCTCCTTTGGGCTGATGACCCTGCCCCACAGGAGGCCTCCTGTCACCCCCCAGCGGGAACGTTCCCTCCCTCCAATGCACTGGAGAGCCCGAGGATGTCTTACCTTTGGGCGAGATGTGTCTCCAAGTAATTGTGGGTTCTGGTCTGCCTGTGGCCATGCAGTTGAGACTGACATTGCCACCCTCATTGATGGAGATATCAGAGGAGATCTCAGTGATTTGAGGCGACACTGTAACAAAAAAAAAAAAAAGAAAAAAGCAGGAAGTAAGAAGGAGATCCTAACTGGTTCACTCTCCTTCAGGCATGGCTGTGGGCTGGTGGTTTCTCCTCCTCTCCCAGAACTTCATACTAAGTGACAGTCCACCAGACATGGTGGTAAAGTACCTGGGGAGAATGGGGTGTCTGAGGTAAGATGAAGCAGGAGGAAGAATGGGGTTCAAACACATCAAAGGGGCTTTGCTCTGCTCATGCACCAGGAGTGATTAGTTTCTGATCTGCATGGCTCTCCTTCGCTGCCCTGTGCCTGGAGTATCTCCATCTTTCCTGCCATGCTTTGACTCCTTCTTGCAAACAGATGTGTATGTGGCCTCCCCAAAGCGTCTCTGCATTAAAACCAGTGGCAGCAGGTTGTCTAAAGAAAATGAGCCTCCCTCCCAGCAGTAGTGTCCAAGTCTGCGAAGCAGTGGCTGGAGGCGTGTGGACAGGCTGGACTCCTTGCTCCCAGCCCTTTATAGATAGGCAGGCCAGCCCTTTGTCTTGCAGACGATCGTGGAGTCCTGCAAAAAAGCTGAGGGCAAGTGAGTAGGGCCTAATAGCTACTTGTGAGAGCCTCTACTGTATGAGAGGTGAGGCTAGGGGCAAGAGTCACCAATGGGACTGCAACCACCCTACACCACTGTCCAGGAGGCAGGAAGCAGGGGAGAAGAGGACCAGGTATTTGAGCACTGTATCCAAGGAAAGGGTGGGCGCAACATGTCCAGGGGAAGAGGATGGAATCGATGGCAATGAAGAAGGATGAGTAAGGGGAGAGGGGGAGGAACAGGACAGACATTACTGAAGAACAAAGGAGTCGAGTTGCACTAGGGGATGTGAGATGGGAAGGGAGATAGTCTGCACAACCTCAAATGGGACAGGCAGTCTCGGCAAGACAAACTAATAAAAAGTCCTTTGCACCTTAACAGAAAATTATCACCTTTCTATGGTAAACATTTTCGGGACCTTCTGATAGCATTTAATAGAGAATTGACCCTGGAACTCTTTAGGATTGTTTTAAACCAGTAACTTCTAGAAAGCACCTTGTTCTGTAGTAAGTTCAGTAGGTTTCCTATGCATCTTTATAGAGCTCTATATATTTCTTTCTTATTATTGTATTTTCTATATGGCTTTTTCAGCACTGGAAACCTGGAGTCAGATCAGAATTGTAGAAAGTTTGGGTTGGAAGAGACCTCAGGAGGTCACATCTAGTCCAACCCCCTGCTCAAAGGCCCAACTAGATCATCCCAGCCAAGGCTTTGTCTAGCAGGTCTTAAAAACCTCCAAGGATGGAGCTTCCACCACCTCTCGGGGTAACCTGCTCCAGTGTTTTACTACCTTCCTTGTGAGAAAATTCTTCCTAATATCTAACCTCAACTTCCCTTGTTCCAACTTGAGATGGTTGCTCCTTGTTCTTTCATCTGCCCCCAACTGAGAACAGTCCAGCCCCATCCTCTTTCAAACCCCTCTTCAGGTAGTTGAAGGCTGC